TCATCCCCCGACCATCCACACATGCATCCGTCCATCCACCCATCATATATCATCCCCCAACAATCCACACATGCATCCGTCCATCCACCCATCATCCATCTAATCACCCCCCAGCCATGCATGCATTCATCCATCCATCATCCATCCATCAACTCTCCACCACTCATCCACCCATCTACCCACCCACCCATCCACCCTCCATCCATCTGATAAGCACAACAGAGTGTGTATTGGGGAGACTGGTGGTTGGGAGTGCAGCCTCTGTCTTCGCCAGTCCTGACTCCATGGTTGTGCCTACTGCCTGTGGGTCCTTGGGCAGCTTCTCAACCTCTCTGAGTCTCAGTTTTCTCCTTGTGAAAAGGAATAAAGGTACTGAATTCCCAGGGTTGTTGTGAAGGTGCAAGGACATAACATATGTAACAAACTTACTAAAGAATAAACCTCCACCTCCTCTTTCTTCTCTCCTCCTGGAACCCAAGCCAACTCAGCCAGGAGACACTGAAGCAGGAATCACAATGAAAGATGAGGGTTTCCACTGGGGAGGAACTGGGGGCTGTGAAAACACAGCCAGGAAGACTCACCTGGTTGGGAGGTCAAGGGAGAAGTCCCAAGTGAATGGGCATTGGCTGTAGGGGGAGAAGGGTGCCCTGAGGAGGAGAGCCTGGTGGAGGGACCCGAGTGAGTGGGGAGGGTGCCCAGATGTGCTCATGTTGTCCAGCTGATGGGACAGCCTTGAGAAATGTTGTATTTACGAAAACTGTTCATGGCAATAGGTTCACTTGCCAAGTAGCCCCCATTGGCCGAAGCCCAGCTAAGTTCTAAAAAACCCAAATCTCCAAGGTGTTTTCCCCTTTTCTAGTCTTTAATCCTCTCCTCCATTTCTGCTTGGGATTTTTCAGAGCCTGACTGCATTTTGGGAGGGAAATAAAAGAATTTAAAACTTAGACAATAAAGGAAACCCCCTGCTTTGGTTCAATTGCCTTACTTGCCATATTCTTTGGCTTCAGGATTTTAGCTGTGACTGCGGGATGGACTGCAAAAAACACCCAAAACCAAATCAAAAACAAACAAAAAACCAGCCCAAACCTCAACAGAGTTAGACTTTCTCATTTTCTAATGAGCTTTTCTGGAAGGCCCTATCTCCTGGGGTGAGGAAGGCCAGACCAATCTACCTGGGAATCTGGTTTGAGTTCTGAGTTCCAGGGTCAGCAAGTACTTTCAGTTTGGGGCTGGAACGTGGGGTGCACAGTTTGGGGGTGGCATGAGGCTACAGGGGGAGGCCAGTCTGGTAAACTCCACCAGCAGAGTCTAGGTTTGGGCCCAAGGGCAATGGGAAGCCAGCTCTGAGTCTTAAACTGGAGAGTGACAGCTCAGAGCTGGGTTTCTACAAGTTTTTTTGGCTGTGCTTCAGGGAGGTTTTGGAAAGGTCAGTTGGGAGATGGGACTGGGGTAGGATGGAGGGAAGCAACCGGCTTTGAGAGCCATATAATGGAGCGCATCCCTAATGAGCTCTGTTCAGGCCCAGGCAGCCAGGGGGATGCAGACGCCCTGCTTCATCCTGACCTGGTTTTGTTGCCTTTGGCAGCCACTGCCTCAAGCTCCAGGGCAGCTGGCCCAAGGCGCCTAGGCCTCCCGGGGACAGAGAGCCACAACCAGCTGGGGGCTGGGGGGTAGACAGGGACTTTGCCGACCCTGCGTCCTCCTTGGGAGGGGAGCTCAAGCCAGCTGCCAGTCTTGGCTCCTGTATCCATGACAACCACACAACTCAAATTCCCTGGGCATTTGCATTTCAAAGGCTCTGTCCATTGGTTTCCACAGGTTCCTGTGTCATATTCGGTGTTCCCATTTTCAGCTGGGAAATAAGACTGCATGCTCTTCTACCCGGGGCGCGGCCATGGGGCTGCGGACATCATGACCCCCTCCACGACTCTAGGCCCATGTGGCTCGCAGAAGTGGGACCGCGGGGTGAGAGCGCGCGGGACTCGGGGCCAGAAGGCCCGCTCCATGTTCTCCCTGTGCCCCTGAGCCGTCCTCTCTCGCCGCCCCTTCCCCATTTGTAACTGGAGGTGGTAGTACCTGTCTGGGTCATACCCTGCAGACAGCAGAGCAGCCTGCACGCAGTGACTGTATCTCCGCGGTGGGGGCGCAGGAGACAGCAGGTGCGGGCCGCGGGCTCCCTGCTCCGAGGGGCGGGAAGACCCCGCCAACCCCGCAGCCGGCCCCGCGGGGGAGCTGGTGGGCCGAGTGCAGGGGACGCAGCTCCCGGAGTCCGGGTTCTTTCTGCACCTTTTGGAGCTCAGGTTCCTCGTTTCAAAGTTGCAAGGTAAGGGCCCTTTACGGGGGTGTCCCGAGCATTAACGGAGACACTACCCGGGAAGCACTGCCGAGGCCGGCCGGACGCTCTGGACGCGGTAGCCGCCGCTCTCCGGCGTCCGCGACGACGGAGGGACGCGACCCCACGGGTGTCCCATCCCAGAAGAAACGGCAGGGCCTCCCCGCCCCTAAATCCCGGGGGGAGCTCTGCTTCTCCCTGCGGCGCCGCTGCAGGGCGAGCTCAGGATATTCTCATTCGAGCGGCGCACCAGCACTTTCCTGTAGGCATCACCATACTTCCGTTTTCAGAAAGTGCTGGAGAAGGGCGGGAACCTGCCGCCTTTGGGGCTAACGCCTTTTAAGCAGGAAGCGCGCTCAGCACACTATCCCTTTAAGGCGTTAAGCCTGGCCCAGGCGTTCTGACCCTCGCCGCTGCCCGTAGCTCCCCTCCGAGAGGCCGGCTTTGTGCGTTTGCCCCGCCCCACTCGCCCCCGCCCCTCGAGTATGCGCACGCGCACTGCCGGCCCCCGCGCCGCCTAGTCGAGTTCGGCCCGGCTCCC